ATACCAATTGGAGTGACATACCTACATATAAGCACTTCACCTTTCCCTTTCCCAGGCGATGTGGGATTGTGCACCCGTAACTCGCCAGTGTGGTAGTCTGTCAGTGTCTCGCACCCGCCCACGGCACACCCGTCCACAGGGTCATCACACATTGTCTAGTGCGAGGTTGAAATTTGTGTGTGTTATAGGAGGCTAAATAAGGGTAACATGCACAGCCAAACACACGCAAATTATCATAAGTGGGAGAAGAGCCAAACAAAACTTCGTTAGGAGATTTATTGTCAGAACTTTGGTGGGAAGCCGATTAATAATATAAACTGATGACTGAAATACCTCAACCCAAAAGGTTTTGGGAAGTTGGGCTTGGTCTAAAAGGGCAAGACCCATGTGAACAAGATGGCGATGGTTTCGTTCCGCAACGCCATTTTGTTCAGGGGTTTTTAGGCAAAAGAATCGGTGTTGTATTCCATTTGAATTTAAGAAATGAAATCTCTAAAGGGAATGAAATTTTAGTGTCTGAAAAACTAAAGGAAAGTTTAGACATTTTGCTAACTAAACAACTAGGACAAATAGATTTAGTTAAGTAAGATCCATCAACAGTGATGGCATGGGTCGAGGCAAGACGTCGGAGGATTTGATGATGGGGATGGCCTAAACGCACATGCCAGACATCTCCACATGTGCGACGGCTGATGAGAGTGGTATGAGGAGGAGACACACATGGACCAGAGGAGGTACTAAGAGAGGGTAAAGACCACATTCACATGGACCGTGGAGTAGGATTTTCCCTGTGGCGCAATCCTTAATAACAAAACCACAAGAGTGAAAAACCAAATAACAATTAAGATCATGAGTGAGTTGAGCGATAGAGATAAGATTTTTCTAAATAGAAAGAACACAAAAGACATTTTTAAGAGTTAAAGAGGAAGAAGGAGTAGTGAGAGTAATTTTACCAATATGAGTGATAGGTATAGTTTTTCCATTACCCACACTTACGGAGTCGCTGCCAAGATACTCACTGGGTGATTGAAAGGACTGAACATTAACAGTCATATGATTGGTGGTGCCAGTGTCTGGATACCACTGATGATCTTAAGAATGGAGATGCATCGTAGCAAAGGCCAATGGTGAGTCATCAGCCTGATAAGTTAGATCAAAACGGTTATAGCAGCGGAGTGCAGTATGACCTCGACCACCACAAATCTGGCAGATGTCCGAAAGAGCAAAGCCAAGAATACCGCTGTTGGAACGGGGGCCAGAAGAGGCATAGGAGGGGCGACCACGATCAAAGGAAGGTTGGCCAGAGGGGTTTGAAGAAAAATTAGAAGAAATTTGGAGAGTTCCGACCACGGCCGCCTCGATAACCACAACCACCACGTGTTACTACAAATGCCGTGTTTGATCAGTTTGCTGAGACATATTGGTGGTATGAGAGAGATGGAGCTCATGAAAGAGGAAAAGTGGTTGTAATTCAACAAAGGAAATGGGGTCAAAGCGAACCATAATCGCCATATGAAAAGACTTATACTTGGGGCCAAGACTGGTGAGGACATGTAAAACAAGATCAGATTCGGAGAGAGGTTGTTGGATGGCTGCAAGAGCATCCGAAATGCCCTTAATTTCATGTTGATAGTCAGTGATAGAATAAGAACCTCCTTTGAGGTTTTGAAGATAAAAGAGCAAGGAAAGAGAGTGTTGGCTAGAGGAGGCAGAGAAAGCTTTTTCCAAAGCAAACCTGACGTCATGAGAAGTTGGTAGCCCAATAACTTGAGCAAGAACAGCTTCGGTAAGGGTGGCATTCATCCAACTTAAGAGAAGTTAATCAGTGAGAGTCCAAAACGTAAACGCAGGACTATAAACAGTAATAACAACACCTTTATCAATGGTGTCACACGGTGGAGAAAGAAAGCCATTGACATAACAGAGGAAATCATGAGAACGAAGAATAGGAAGAAACTGACTTTTCCATAAGAGATAGTTGGAGTGGTCAAGTTTAATGGAGACTAGATAGGAGATATGGTGAAACGGAGTAGACAGAGGTGCAGCCAAGAGAGACGAATCTGAAAGTGGTGAAGTTGGAGGCAAGAGAGGGAGATGAGGGCGCTGTGCTGTCAGAAGAAAACATGCTACCGGTTTGGAGAAGAAGAAAAAAAAAAAGAATGATTATTACTTGGAGAAGAGAATATTATGGCTCTGATACCATATAATTTTATATGTTTTGCATATCGCAATAGGACTGCAGTCATTTGTATTTATAATACAGAATATTGGATTACGAAGGAAAGACTAATAATCCCTATAATCAAGCTATACAATAGGAATGAATAATAATCCCTATAATCAAACTATACAATAGGAAAGAATAATATAATCTCTATAGTCAACTATACATTAGGAAAGAATAATAATCCCTACAATCAAGCTCCATAAATCAACCTAGAATCAAGGAATCAAGGTGGTTGATTTATATCTTTACAATCTTCATAACCGGGGATGGCATCATCAACCCCATCCTTGGCGGCGGTCAATCGTAAAAATTCTGCAAACTGAACCATAATTTTTGCCACCGACGACAAACATCACGCTACACCACCGCTTTCATCAAGGTGTCAGATCTACACAACTCCGCCATTACGCGCCTCCATGCACCTCATCGTGCCGGATATTCATGTATCCGCCACTAACGCCCTCCGTGCGCCGCAACGTGCCAAATCTTCACGGATATGCCACCACGCGCCTTATCTTCACAAATCTGCCACCACGCGCCTTAAGTGTCGAATCTTCACACATCCGCCACCAATATGTCGAGCCACTACACTTCTATGCGTCTCCAGTGGTTTTTATGTCAATGCACCTCTACGCGTCTTAATGTGCCGAATCTTCACGAATCCGCCACCATGCACCCCAATGTGCCGAATCTTCAGAAATCCACCACCATGTGCTTCCGTTCGCCTCAACGTGTCGGACCACTATGCTTCCGTGCACCTCCAGTGATCTGCACGTCAACTGCGCTTCCACGCATCTCCAGTGGTATTCGTGCTTAACCAATGCTTTCGTGATCTTGTCTCCAAACTCAAGCTCTCAAGCTGACCTTGAGTTTAAAGAGGACTTGTTAGATTATCCCTATTATACCTCTTACCTACCACCTAAGGTTTCTTGTTCACTACATTGTTACCTTTTATAGTACCTACCTACCCAATTGCCTTGTATAGCTTTCGCCTATAAATAGGCCCTTTTTATGTGTTACAAGATTCATCAATTCAATATATAGTTTACTTATTTCTAACATGGTATCACTGATGCTCACTAGTAATAGTCTTCTTAGTCCACCGTCGTCACTGCCGAGGATGGCACCATAAGCCCCATCATCGGCGGCAGTCAATCGTCAAAGTTCTACAGACAAACACATCTCCTTTTCCCTCTGCCACCAAATCTTCATAGATCCACCACCGCATGCCTCAACATGCTGGATCGTCACAGATCCACCACCCACGCGCCTTCGCGCTCCTCAACGTGTCAAATCTTCACGTATCTGCCACCACGTGCCTCTGTGTCCCTCAACATGCCGGATCTTCACGAATTCGCCATCATGCGCCTTTGCGCGCCACAAAGTGGCGAATTTTCACAGCTCCGCCACCGCACTTCCATCCGCCTTAATCTACATAATAGGTGAAAACCCATCTACATCGTGGGTGAAAACGTATCCACTGAGCATGGGTCTATATCATGGGTGAAAATCCATCAAATTAACACACCTCAACGTGCTTCACAGATCTGCCATCAACATGCCTTTGCGAGCCTAAACGTGTCGGATTTTCATAAATTCTCCATCACTCCAGGACCTGCTGCTGATATCTTCACCAATTCTTCTTCTGCCAGAATGACTACAAGATTTAGTTTCCAAACTCAAGTTATCTACTCAACCACCTTGAGTTTGAGGGGGATGTTAAAGTATAATATTCACATGATGTATTTACTTAGACACGCTACATTCACTAAACACCTTCGTTGCACGCTACATTACTGCCTTGTATAGCACTCACCTACCCAGTTGCATTGTATAGTTTACTTGTATAGCACTCACCTACCCCTATCCCTCGCCTACAAATAGGATCCTTATGTATAGTTTATTTAGGCAAATACAATATATACATTCTCCAAATCTTCTAACAGGATCCAACTCAACTAGACAAGCCTTAATCCCAACTACTTATCCACATTCTCTTGTCTACTTTATATGACACCATATCATTGATTCAATAAATGGTGATAACGTCCTTTCCCCCAACCTCCACACATGTTCTTACAAGACATCATCCCCTTGTCTTTTAAGACCTTCAATTTGAATAAAATCACTTCCTTAGACGTTGCATTAATTGGCCTATTTTGCCTGTGGCCAAACTAGCACCACCTTGAAACAAGATCACATTGTTGGAATGTGCCTGCCATTAAACAATAAAAACCAGATGATTGTAATATTTCATTTCCTAAGAGAATGTCAACATATGACACAGCCTTCACCGGTAACGTTTTTGTCATACCATTTTCACAATTTAATTCCAGACACAAGAAGAGAAGCACAGTAGCTTTACGTAGAAAGCAAGCTTAAAATCTGCAGCCACTGCCACCCAAAACTTGAGGATGCTTGCAGCAAACTGAATTTATAAAAGCAGGGTCTGTTATTGGTCCTTATCATTTAAGCTAAGCTTTGCAATTATTAACTCTTTTAACAGTATCAGCAATATTCAAAAAACAATTTAATAAAAGAAATATATATTGAATTAAAAGAATTCTGCACCGTAACAATCAGGTATGGATTTGCATTTTAAAAGTGTGATTCAGCAGAAATAATGCTGGGCTCATCCCGATATTTTTTTTCCCTACACCACGGGCCATGTGGGGAGGGGGCTTGGCAATTGATATTCACAAATCAGGCAGCAGTGAAATTCCCATAAATTTATGTGCAACATCAAACAGTAAAGAGCTTGGTCTTAACACACCTTGCTGGGATGATGCAACAATCTAATTCTTCTAGCCTCTTGAACCTCCTCCATTAGTCCCTCCACTTCCTAGAAAAATTAAGCGTTATATATTAGATAACAAGTATCTTCTATAACCAATGGTGAACATCAGTGTCCACCTCAAAAGATAACTCATCTTCCATGCACATTGCCCAATTCTATACCACTAAATGGACGCAGATGATGGCATAACATATAATGAAAAGAATGTGGTTCAAGCATTGAAGGTTCTCAGGGGGAAAATATGATTCATAAAGCTTGAACGTATACAAGAGATCTAGGTGCAGAAAAGCAACTTCCGATAATACTTCTACAATTAAAATTAGAAAATCCTAACCATGTTACACACATAAGATTCTACTCAGAAAACAATGGCATGAAAGTATAACTATGAAATCAATTCACATTAAGGAACTGCGGTATGTTTTCAGTTATTTGGGAAAAAATAGAAAAGTATTAACGCAAGATGGTCATAGCAATGCCTTCTTGACTGAGAAATATTGTTTACATAAGTCAGTAGAAACATATAGCAACAATTATAGCACAAACTCCCAAATAACACACACTACCACTGTGGCAAAACAAGTAACTGTTTTTACAGATGCAGCAAAAACTGTGGAGACATGATTGCATCAGTCAACAAATTTGGTAGTGTCTAATCATATCTAGGTAAAAACTGTGGAGACATGATTGCATCATCAGGTAAAGTTTTAAGTATAAATTAAGACAACAACTGCCTTGCATGAGAATTTGTAAATCTAATTCTATAGACCGGTTTGAAGTCTAGAAATTTTCAAGGATCATCACTAAGAGTCATGTGATACAAAGACTCAGGAGCTTATCTTAGATGGTTCAACACAAGGTTTACAGGTCTGCTAATTTTTCCTTTTTTCTTCTTCTTCAATATTTACTTCACTTACAAGATGAGGGCCGCGATCTAATCTTCCCTGCAACCAACAGAAATGACCTACTGGTTTTTGCTTTTTTTATTGTTCAAAGAAAAAATTGTGATTGGTTTTCATCTTCCAAACCACACTTGAGTTTTGTTGAAATTTAATGAGCCAAGTATCAATAAGATCAGCTGACTTGTTAGAAGTTAGAGCTAAGCTTGAACATAAGTTATGTGCAACCATTATTTTAGATTTAAAAGAAAACACTCAGTGGGAACCTGCTTTTCTGAAGTCTGAGAAATTCTTTCTTGTTCCTCGAGGGCCTCTCCAAATCTTTGCACTACTGCTCTAGCGCTCTCAATCTCAGCACAAGCAAAAGATCTTTCTTGGTTAACCAATTTTTTAGCATCTTCTGAAGCCTGAAAAGAAATAATGCATTCAGTTTCTCTGAAAAAACACATGCACACATGAACATTAACAAAAAAAGAAAAAGAAAAAATCAATGCAGTTCAGATATAAAACTGGAAGGAAGCAAAAGCTATAAGAAATTATTCATCTTGAGCGCATTAATTGCAATCGCTTGAATTTAAACTTAGGTAGCAGTTAAGTTGACCAAGGAAAAAGCGGATGGTTAATAAAACTAGTTATACGGCTAGAAACATGGAGATGATGCACAGAACAAAGCATTGTCAATGTCTTATAATGTACCTTTTGATTTTTGTTATATTATTACTTCAAAACAAGTAAAAATACCATATCACTCTATGAAAATAAAAGAAAACAATTCAAAAATACAAACATTTATTCTTGTCGCAAGTCCTTGAGTTTGAGGATGTACCAAATCTAACACTTAAGACACAATTCCCAAACCAACAGATGTATATCATAGTAACCAAGTCGATATAACATAACTTCCAACTCTGCCATACTTTATTATGTCCGTTGTTCCATAACTCCTTTGGTTATAAAAGTTCTTCTCACATCATGAAAAGCTATCCTTTATGTTGGGAGCTTATTGTTACCTTTCATTTCTTCAATATTAACAATTAACATAGTTTTAGGGTATCTCCATACAGTATTAGATATTAGCTTTATAATTCAAAGAAATACAGATAGTTTATACATCTATATCCCACAGCTCCTTTAATTATAAAAGTTCTCTCTTGAATTATATAACCAATTCATGACAAGGTATCCTGCATGATGGAAGCTTATTATTACCTTAACTTTTTTTGCCCCTGTTGGGACTTGAAACCTCAGCTTCTACTTTTGAAGTTGAGGAATATTACCTTAATGTACTACCGAGTTAATTTCATACCTACTAGATACAAGAAGTTGTAATCCTATAACTAGTAAGAAATAGATATAATAGATATTTATTGACATCAATCAAGCATCCTCCCTCCCACACGCCCCAAGATTTATTATGTTCTTTTATTCCAATAATAATTGCAATCAAGTCTACATGCATGAAACGGATGCACATCCTGAGTATGATTAAAGACATAGTTTATCACTAGTCAGTAACATGTGATACACAGCAGATATGTATATGATAAGGAAAATCAACATGTACAGCTATTGTTTCTCCAATAATTAATGGGATTTTACAATACACTTATGATAAAGGATATATTATATATCACTTTTAATTTTATGTATATTTTTAGAAAAAGTAATTATAAGCATATTTCTGCCAACTATTGTTCCGACAGTAATTTAAGGAGGGAAAGTGTACATTAACTTAAAAGAATCTACTATCTATCGTGCATTGTTACCAGAATATGATGTCATGTAATTATGCAGCTTATATTGGAGAAGCCAAAACCTTATGTCTGTCATAACTTTTCTTAAGCTACACAGGAATTATTAGGAAATTTGAAATTTTAAAATTTGTAAATAAGAAGATCAGAATTGAAATTTGGATTACGTGATAATATTTGATCCTCCTATTATCTAAAAATTGCAAGGATCATAATATGAAAAGAAAAGAACACCAAAATGTGCCGTCATATTTTTTTTATGAGAAGCAAATAATTGCCATCATCTTGACCTGCTTCAGAAAGTTCACTAGTTTTTTGACTTCAAACTTTTCTTGAATCAACTCTCCTTCTTTTTGAGTCAACTTCACTGCCAAAGCTTCCACCTGCACAAAGTCACCAAAGTTTGAAGCACTTCTCATTTTATAAATCTGGGATTCACTAATAAAGGGCATTATATACTCATCCTCCAAACGAACAATAAGATTCAGACAGATAATTTTTTGTAGCATATAATTTTGATTAATAAACTAAATTTAAATAAAATGATATAGTATCTGCAAGACCACGTTGATCCTAACCTGTCACTTGAAAGCATGAAATGTTATAAACGATGTATTTCCATTTGAGACTGCCCAGATGGTTAATATGATCAATTGTTACATATAAACATTTCAAAATGACTGAAGATGGTGAAGTACCATCTAGGACACCCGACACAATATGACCCATATACGGGTTAAATGTTAGCGATACTGAAACATGTACCAAAAAGGCATCTAGACAAAGAGTATTTGTAGAAACTAGGAATTATTCCAATGATACATAAATAATTCAAAATGAGTGACATAACCATGTTGAACATGCCCATTACAACAGAAGAAAATTGGATACTCAGCAGTTCATTTACGTGCCATTGTCTTAGAGCGTCTTGAGATTTGGGAATTAGACAGATTTGGGACCAAGACACACACCCAAACCTGAAGGCATAATGTAAGTCATCCAGTAATAGGTAAATCAACCTTTAATTCTCGAATTTACAAAAAAATAAAAATGGCCCATTAGTTAGAAGTAAAAAATGTTTTATGTTAAAAAGACTAAAGAACATACTTTCCAATCGTCCGGTAAGTTATTTCCGTTCTCTTTTTTTTTTCCAACCATAAGCAACAAGCACAATCACCAGTCCCCCCACACACAAAGCCAATTAAGGTTTGCCATGTACATATTTTCTTTATTCTTTGGTAGACTACTATGCTTATTGAAATGGCTATTGCTTATTGGAATGTCTCTAATAAAAATATTTAGTGGGAATACTGGATTACATGTAACATGGGCTACAAATATTATTTGGGACTTGTACAACAAGTAGGCCAAAGCATGCAGCATAAGGGAGATGCAACAATATCGTTCATGGCTCATTTTCTGTATATCTTCAATCTATATTATATATAGCATGATCAAAATAAATTCAAGAAAAATATTAAACATTGTTGTGCATATCCAAAAATGTATTTTATTCAACATGGCATCAAATATATGCAGTGATAAAACAACATCAAACTACTTGGGTTAAAGAGCATTTACACCGAACAGCTCATGACAGTTATCAAATGAGAGAAAATAACACACAAGACTAACCATAGAAATAGCTTTATCTACATCTTCCTTGTTACATCCAGCCAATCGGCCTCTCAGAGATTCCAGTGCATCTCTAAGTTTCTTCAAAAGAACATGTCCCTCTAAAGAAGCCACCTCTCTAAGTTTAGCCTGGATACCAAGAAAAACTTGTGTATAGTTCACTTGCTCATCTGGAATTCTCACTAGAGTCTTCCCAGAAAGAGATAAGAGTGAATTAAATTAGAAAGGAAAAGAGTATTTAATTTTAAAAGACATTATTGGTTAAAATATATAAATATACTCAACTCAACTCCACAAAGCTTTTTCCAAACTATTTGGGTGGTTAAGAATTTTTTTTTTTAAAAATGCATATACATATTATTGAGTATAAGATAAGTATATGTCAACTAATAACATAGATTGATAATACCAACTTTAGCATGTGTATGAATTAGAAACAGAAATGTAAAGGGGTAATCCCAACATATTAAAAGAACAAAAAGACTGAGACCTCATCAGACAACTTAGCGGCAGCAGCCAAATTCTTGTCAAATTTACTGGCAAGGTCGCGAACAGAGAGACGCTTTTGCTGCTCCAGTAGCTGGGTCGTTTCCTGTGAAACAACCTCTTTCAAGGATGGACCCTTCCTGTCTTCCTTCACCTCCTCCAAAATCTGATTATCAGCTCCAATTTTATATTTTGGAAACTGGTTAGCAGCAAAGCTCACATCAGCTGAAACTGAGAGAACCGCCTCCATTTGCATCTGATCTCCACATTCCGGACTTACTTTCGTCATTTATCCAGATTTTATGTTCTGTTCATCATAAGCAAATTAGAGAGACAACCTCTAATATGAACAGCTAATAAAATTTAGTAATGGATCTCAGGAACATCAAGTGATCAATACATAATCAATAATGAGACATGGTTGATTTTTCTCATACCAGTTATGTCCATAAACAAAGTACCACTAATATCATAGTGCAGAAAAAATATTCAAACCATCTAATGAAAGTAACCAGGAAAATAGGTAAAAATCAACATTGGTGGGACTTGTAATCAAGAAAGATTCCTATAAGGACATTGATCAACTGATCGTCTATAGCTAAATGGATGACCAATATATCCAAGCAATGAAGGAAAATATTAAGCTGGAAAGACTAAAACAGCCAAAGATTTTCTATGAATGGAGGATAATCAAAGAAAAGCCCTGCATAGCATAACCAAAGAAGCAGAATCAAGATGTTTAAAAAAGGAGCAGTGATACACATCATGAATAAATTTCATGATTTGAATCTTAAATGATAAGTGGCTCTCCCTTAGGCCAAATATATATATATGGTGATACCAGTGATTTTAGGCTATTTTTAAAACATAGTGAATTGTTCTAAATGAAATCCCATAAAAAAAAAAGTGGACAAATGAATGATTCAATAAAAATAAATAATAAAAAATTTCATAAAATTGTTTAATTAAATTTTGTTTTCATAATAAAGTTTAATTTAATGGTTTTTTTTTTTTTCTCTTGTGATTGAATTTGAATCACGGGAAATGAAACTAAAGTTTTTCAATTAACATCACGGAAACCATTAGCGGAGAAGTTTATTGCACAGAGAAGATTGATTTTCATTCCAAAAATTTGATAGCATGGTAATATTCATGGAATAATAATCATTTCTCTAACTAAAACCCCTTCTTCACAACTTGTCCTCCCTATCTCTTCTTATACATATTAGTATCATATTCTTTTCCTCGCAGACTTATAGAGAGATGCATTCCCTAAATAAATCAGTATCTACTCTCTCTTCAAAGAAGGAATAAAAACATTCCAAATAAAAAAATAAAATAAAAAAAGGAAATATAAATAAAAAATTAAAAAAGGAAAAACGTGGCAAATAGAATGCTGCCACGTTTTTCATGATAACCTTTCCTGATGTTTATCATTTTCCTTAAAAAATATACAAAGACTGGAAATAGTGATTCTATGACAAAAGTAAGATATCTGATGACTAGAGACAGAAGGAGCATCCATAATAAGCCACCTAATCTCTCTAAAACATGTTAATATAAAATTCAAGAACAAGTTCCGTCATCAAGAAAGGGGAAAATTTTAAAAAATTAAATTAAATTAAATTAAAATAAAATAAAGGAAACAAGATTCTTATAATTTTACCCCCAAAAAATTAAAGAAATAAAATTTAAGATCTAAGAAAATAAGTAGTATGATGTTAAATATGAAATGGGAAATCAGTTGGCAATTATGATTTCCCAATGTGTGTTGCTATTGCTAAATGGAGTCATGAATTGCTGGTGTTCGAACGGCATTCCATAAATTGAACCCACGTTTCCAAGTGGCTTTACAGAACTAAATGTTCATCACCTCTAATAGATACATATATGGATATAGATAATGCATACCATGTACAATATGAGTATGAAGGTTGATATCAATAAACTTAAGAACATTCAGAGAAAGAAGAATAGAGTCCTCATAACTAAAGCAGAGTCAAAAGTAAAAGAAAATTAGTGTTGCTTAAAATAATCAAACTAAACTCTAATCCTTCAAACTTTTGAACAACAAACAAATGGCGTCAACGCATATAAAAATAAATATATATAGGGAGAGAGAGGGAGAGAAATTGAAGCTAAGAAGGTGAGATGGCACTTACAGATAGATGATAAAACAAAGTGGAGAAGGCTACTCATAAAAATGGTTGTGCATCAGTGCATGTCTATATATTCTTCAACCAGTTTTGCAGGGAAAGAAAAGAAAGAAAGAGAGAGAGATGTAAACAGGTGAGAAGAAGAAGAATCTGAGAGATGTCTGCTTTTTAAAAAGCAAAGTGAAAAAGGAAAGACCCTCTCCACTGCCCTCCCTGCCTTCCCTACCACCCTTTACCCTTCTTGCCAAACCCCATCACTGTAGTACAAATTCTTTTTCTTTATTTTTTTTTTTAACACACACACATGACAGACACAAGTCACCACCACAACCACCACCACCAACAAAAACATATTTTCCCAAGTGAAGTCATCATTGTAATTCTGCTAAAAAGCTCCTGGTTCAATAGTAAAAAGACAATCCACGCGCAGTCCCCACTCGCCCTAAGTGGGTCCCGTCCCAACCGCGCAATTATCCATTCCTGCTGCGGGTGGGACTGCCATTTACTCTTTTTCCTAGCCCTTGAGGTGGTGGGGTGGGGGTCTGTCTGTATTTACGGAACTGCCATTACGCCACGATACCAAAACAGTCAGCGGTACCACTTACCGTCGATGATGTCTTCTTCTGTATGTCTTTGCCAACCAAACAGTCAACAACCAACATGGTGTGGGTCCCACCCCAAAACGACAGTCGAGTCGAGTAGCGATGGCAGTAATCAGTTTCCCCGTGCTTGAATATATAGTATATATATATATATATATATATATATATATATTCCATATATCCCAAATTAATGTGCCGTACTTGAAAAGTCAATTTACTATTTTTTTTTTTATTTAATTATAAAAATAAATTATCTTGTGAATTCATTATTTTATAATTCATTTACTATTAATATAATAAAAATATATTAAGATTTATTATCTTAAAAAATTAGATTCTCAAAAACAAATGTTTAAGTTGAGGTAGATGGAATATAATTTTTATTTTAAAAAAGATGTACTGTTTGACAAATTGTAAGTCACGATTCACTAAATAGGACATTTAATTTGAAACGTAAATATATATATATATTCCATATATCACAAATTATATATATATATATTTTATATGTGTCTTACTTGAAAAGTCAATTTACTATTAATTTATTTATTTATTATTTTTTAACTTATAAAAATAAATTATTATGTGAATTCATTATTTTATAATTCATTCACTATTAATATAATAAAAATATATTAAGATTTATTATCTTAAAAAATTAGATAAAATTAGATTCTCAAAAATAAATGTTTAACTTGAGACTGATGGAATATGATTTTTTTTATTTTTTATTTTTTATTTTTTATTTGTGTCAAATGAAAATTGGTGGAGATTAATGATCACTTTTTCAGACAAATACTATATATTATATTCGGATGCTATATATGCTACTGGTCTTCAAAACAATGGCTAATTATGAAATTAGTCGGAGGAAACAACTTTAAGACTTGTGTGTTGTACAGTAACATTCTAATGATGACAATCGAGTAAGAATAGTTGGTGGGGTCTAGTAAACATTCATAATACTACGTACTCTCCGGACGAGTGGCGTATAATTCACTATCCAACCACAAGATGACATATGGACGCTATACAATAAAGAATTAAGCTAGGTTGTGTTGTTGTTGTGGGGACACACATTGATGGTGGAAATGATAGTTGTTGTAGTATTAGATAGACAAAACGGCTAATTAATTGGCGAGGTAGCTGGGGTTGCTTTCAACTTTAGATTGTTTATTACGTGTGGATGGGGCGCAAATGGTAGGTATATTGCACAACTTATTGTGCTTAATCATTAATCAACACTTGAGCTTTGCTTGGTAACCATAATTAAAGCTAACTACATCTGGCCCAGGAATCTGAAAGCTGTTGGGAACTATAAGATATTCGACCTTAATACATGCATTGTCTGTTTTTTTTTCTTTTTTTTTTTCACTTGCATATAAATATACTGTGTGTATACGTGTGCACCTTTATGGCGAGTCTATCATGAACTTATTTGGCCATACTATGTCTCACAGTATATCTATACTTTTATGAGTGCGGACGTGGAAGGATTGTCAAGACCAAATTTGCTGCTAAGTTTGTCTTGGGTGAACTAACTAGAGGAAATCAAATATTCTCGAGTTATACAGGCAACTAGAAGCATACGCGTATTGTAATATGCTTATCCGAGACATTGAGAAATATTCAGAAAAGTATTTTCAAAAAATTTTATCTCTGTAATCTGTTCATCTTGTTCGTCTTGGTTTCGGAGAGTTCCTATGACATAATGCATCTCGTCCCTTTGGAGGCGTGTTTGGTTTTTGGCAGTTGGTAAGGAGCTTGACATATCGGCCTTATCACTTGAACAAGTGTGAAGAGCATGAATTTACCCCCTCGCTAGTTTGTTCACCCAGCCTTAACTTAAAAGAGTTGATATCTAAATTTGCTTGAAGAGCCTCAATCAAGTGCATGATTTGCAGTAAAAGAAGAAAGAATCAAACAATACAACTACCTTAAGCAAAAAGTAACATTATCATCGTTAACTTCAAGAAAGTGACAAGTATCAATTATAATTCCTTGGAGAATGCAAAATGTAGCCAACTACATTCTACCATATATGGTATGGCACGAACTTTGCTCCATATGTTACAAGCTTTTAGAAAATTAAAATTATACCAATGTCACACAATTACACTAATGAAATCAGTATAACTGTATAAGTGCAGCGAAAAAAGAATCAAGCTACACCGTTACACTAATGAAAGCATGTGAATGCAGTAAAGAAAGCAAGCCTAAAGTTACATTGTTGAAGCAAGCTTTCTTTACATTGTTGAAGCAAGCTTCCAAAGAAACTACAAATGAAAGGCTTGGAGCCAGAGGCGGATGCAGGGGGCTGATGGGACTTGAGTCCCAATTTTTTTTTTTTTTTTTTACTATAGATAATTTTAGTCCAGTCAAAAAAAATAAAATAATAAATAAATAGTAGTACTAGCCAACCCCAAAATATATTTCTAGATCCGCCACTTGGAGCCCACTTAAAACAAGTATATAGTTTAGGTGTATTGGTGCATGATCCTTATTCAGACATAAATGAATTTTATTTATAGTGCAATTTATATTTTTAAAGGTGTACAATTTCTCATTTAAATAATTCTAATTTATGATATATATACTCCCTCTGTCCCAATTTAAGTGTCACTTATGGGAAGTAATAATTTTTAAGGGAACATGTGGGACATACATTGTCCGCTTGAAAAATTACTAACTTGCCCTTTCAAGTTTTAAATATTCAAATTTGAAATTTTAAACTCAAAGAACATATATGGAAAGGCTGTAAAATATATTATTTGGAAAAAGAAAATGGACACTTATTTTAAGAACAAAAAAGGAAAACATGACACTTATTTTAGGACGGAGGGAGTAGTAATTTTAGATAAATGTTAAAATTTATATTTTTAAAAAATTACTCCGACTAAATGTATAAGATAGTTCAAATATTTAGTGGGATAATGATATAAGTGTTTTAATATTAATATTTCCTTCCCTAATTATATTTCGTTTATTGAATTAAATAAATATATATTTTTAAAAAATTATATGTAATGTATTGAAACACTAAAATCCAATAATGTGTTTGCTCCTCTAATTATATTTTTTAATATTATATATTTTCTCTCTAATTAGATTTCCTTTTTTTTATATTAAATTTCAGTATTTTCAACTACCTATATTATAAAGATAAAAATATAATTTTTAATTGAACTTTAGAATAGGAATTCAATTATTGATAGATGTATTTTCAAACTCCTAAAATAATATCAAAATCAATTCTATTTTTTTATTAAAATTTACTAATATTTATTTATATATAAAAAATTTATTTATATATTATCTATAAAATTATAAAAGATGTGGAGACCAAATAGACTAAATTATTTATATATTTTTTAAATATTTTCTTGTCTAACTAGAAAGACTAATTTGTTTATTTTCTTTATATTTTTCCTTAACTAATTAGATTTACTTTTATTTAAAAAATTCATAGTAAATAGGTAATTTGAATTTTATAAATTGACTAATTTATTTATATTTTTCATATATTTCCTTGTCTAATTAGAAAGGCAAAATTATTTATTTTCTTTATATATTTTCTTATATAATTAGTTTTCCTTTTATTAAAAAAAACTCATAATAAATAGGTAATATGAGTTTTATAGAAACTCTTCTAAACACCTTATATTAATTTTAAAATAAAATTTGATATTTATTCATTTATATATTATAAAATTATTTATATATTATTTATAAAAAAATAAAAGATGTGGAGACTAAATAGACTAAATTATTTATATTTTTTATATATTTGATTGTCTAATTAGAAAGACTAACTTATTTTATTTTCTTTCTATACTTCCTTAACTAATTAGATTTACTCTTGTAAATTAAAACTCACAATAAATAGGTAATTTAAGTTTTATAAATAGACTAAATTATTTAATTTTTTTTGTCTATTTCCTTGTATAATTAGAAAGACTAGATTATTTATTTTCTATATATATTTCTTTATCTAATTAGATTTCTTTTCATTTAAAAAAAAATCATAATAAATAGGTAATTTGAGTTGTATAGAAAACTCATCTGCTAAATACCTTATATTAATTATAAAAAAAAAACGGATAATAAATATGTAATTTGTGTTATTCTAAAAGGAAACATACATACTGAATATATAAATTTATTATTAAAAAATAATGTACTGAAACACATTAATGTACTGAAACTCTTTGCATTTACCAGAATGATAACAAAATATATATTGTAGAAGAATGATTTTGCATTATTATTTATTATGTATAAATAATATTATAAAAACATATTATTTTTTGAAATAAAAATGTTATAAAAATTTAAAATGAACTAAAAATAAAAATTAAATATAAAAATAATTTTGTATATAGAATTCTTAGTTTAAAATTTTATTGGTATATTCTATATATTTTATTAATTTAAATTTTTATGTATTTTAAAATTTAATAGTTAAAATTTTTATTTATTTTCTTGTCTAATTAGAGAGGCTAAATTATTTATTTTCTTTATATATTTTCTTGTCTAATTAGAAAGACTAAATTATTTATTTTATATATATATATTCTTATCAAATTAAATTTATTATTAAAAAATAATGTACTGAAACACATTAATGTATTGGAACGTTTTGTACTTTTAATAATAGTATGGATATATATATATATAGTATATAAGAGTTTTTTAATATTATATATTAATTTGTTTCCTTCTCTAAATAGATTTTCTTATATATTTCTTTATCTATTTAGATTTTTTTATTAAATTAAATAAATAAAATTTTAATTTTATAATTAATTTACTGAAATACTGAAACTCATTGCACTTTTAATAATAGTATGTACGTATATATATATTAATTTTTGGTAAGTAAATTTTTATTTATTTTTTAAGCACTGGTAAGTAAATTTAAGACGCAGTGTCTTGACTCTTGTTGGATACTGCATAGTATTATTTATTAACAATTAATCCTGCTCTCTCACCCTCGCTCTCCATGGTATTATTTATCAACAGTTAATCCTGCTCTCTCACTCTCACTCTCACTCTCACTCTCACTCTCTATATGCATGTATAAATGGTTGTTAGGAAGTTGGGAGTTGGTACTTATGGTCTGGAATATTATCCCAAGCGCAGTATGTATAAATGGTTGTTAGGACGTTGGGAGTTGGTACTTATGGTCTGGAATATTATCCCAAACGCAAGCGCTTTAAAAAACAAGAAGAAAGAGTAGTAGTGTTTGAAAATGTTAGGAATGTCCAAACAGCTAGTCAACACACATCCACATGGTAGGACCATTTTTAATCCCAAGCTCCATGCGTTTGTCCTAACGTGCCAGCCACCCTGTGGCCCATTTCTTGGAGACCCCCCAAAGTTTTTACTTCCATTTTCAAGGAGGTAAATCAGGCAGAATCCAGATTACAAAGTAGACTGAATTAAGGGGGAAAAAATAAAAAAATAAAAAAGTAAAATAAAACAAAAAAATTGGTCATAGTCCACTGGGCCTAGAAGCCTTGGTTTTTTGCATAGACCAAATAGACCGGACTTGGGTTCAAAACTTAAAAACGCCATGTTTGTTTGTTTGGAATATCTTAAAGGTAGGTTTAATAATAAATAAATAATAGGACACATGCGGCCCAACCCAAAATTCCTAAAAAGGTTTGGATTGTATTGTATACTGTTATTAATTGGGCATTGGATATTGCCACATATCACTGGAGGAATAGTACAGTACGAGCAAGTCTACAAATTACAACATTAACACGAATACGAATACAAACATGTAGTATGTATTTACAAATTATTGCGAAAAATGTAAAATTCAGAAAAGATGTACGAATGGCAGAGTGAGGTGGTACACAATAATATTAGTATTTTATTTTAGTTGGATGTCAACAAGCTGCCTTGAGTATGGTGGGTTTGGGACACTCCTATTCGATTTGGATTAGATTTTAGTTTGAATCTGATCCCACCACCACTGCTCCATGCATATGTGAAACTTGAATTTGAATTTGAGACACCTATTTGTAAAAGGACATCCATTACACATTTAGATAAGATTGATTTGAAAATAATAATAATAATAATTGTAGCTAAATAACTAGTCATATCATGTGCATCAATAATAATAATAATTGTAGCTAAATAACTAGTCATATCATGTGCATCAGGAAAATTATATTTTGGTGACCAAAATATAATATAATTGCTCTACAGTGATCTTAAAGTCAAGAAAAGATGGGTAGTGACCAATGTTAAAACTTAATTGATATTAAATAATCACTTAAAGATAATTTGGTCAAAAATACTTAAAGGTTTGATAAATATTTTAAAAATAAATTTTAAATGACAAAATTGTCATACAATACAAATAATAACTCATTGAATTCATCCTCATACTCTCTCTTTTATCCAACGTTTTCTTTTTTCCTTTTTAGTTTCCAATTTACCAATTTAAAAAATTAAGATTTATTTATGAACATTACCTCTTTTCCACCCTTCTTTCTTTTCTAAGGCTTTCCACCATGATTGCAAAACATAATATTTACCGTGGCAAATCAAGAAAAGAAGTTCCATCCCAAAATGTTTTTTTATAGAATATTTATAGAGGTGGGTCCCTTCTCACTTTGTTACTTTAATATATCATCTTTTTTTCTGAATAATTTTAAGTTCACGGCTACAGGATGTGGTTAAGGCTATAGAAAAGGCTATTTAGTTAAACTAAGGTTGTGGATTACTCATTTTTGTCATTAGAAAGCAAAAAGTTAATGGGCCGTGAGTAAGAGCAGATGTTGTATTCATATTTTACATACAATTTATTTGCATTTCCTACATGGTTAAGAGCCAAACACAATCCTTAATATGTAGTTTTTCAAGCATTTTAACAAACAAATGAAGTGCATTACAAAGTAATTTAATTTTGAGACGTAAATTAATGACAATGTCTAAAGTAATATATTCACTTTCAAAAATCAAGTGTAATTGAGTGATATGAGGTGTTCCAAAGCCCAAGCAATCTCAATAACAACTCATATAACAACTTCATATTTTGCAAATCATAAATATGCACACTTTTGAAACACCGATTAACAGTTGACAAAATTATGAAATTAATCAACAATGGTCATTATTTCTTAAACTATAACCAAGTAGTATTAAAAAATTTCTAAAATTACAATCTTATATCTTAATGAAGATTTCTCAAACAAATCAACTTGTAAAGTATAATAATTATGTATTAAAAAATTCCTAAAAATTACAATCTTTATCTTAAGGAAGATGTGTTAAACAAATCAACTTATAAAGTATAATAACTATACCTACAATTTTCTCGTCCTGCCTTTTAAAACATTAAAAAAAACTATGCAGAACATCCATCCTTAGTTCTCTCCCATCTTGGTCTTCTCTTCAGAGACCCACCCCGATAATATGTCGTCTCTTTGTTAATCAATTTCAGTAGGTGTTTATTTAATTTAATGTACAGGGTAAATTTGTCCACTTATATAAAAAAATATTATAAGAAGGTTATTTAGGTAATAAATCATCAAATGGTCACTTATTAATAACTAAGTTTTAAGTTTGGTGACTATTCACCTTTTCTTGACTTTATGGTCACTTTACACTAATTATGTTTAATTTTGGTCTCCAAAATATAATTTTTCCTAAATCCTATACCCTTTTTGGATGGAAATTAAAATGTAAATGGAACCGCATGCGCAGCTTAGCTAATTTGGAATGAGATTATTTAATGTGTTTATTATGTTTTAACTCTTAATCACCGCCTCTTTCAAAATATCCTATAATAATGCCACTACTGATTTAAATTTAAGAAACCAAACCAATTATAAAAAATTAAAAAAAAATTAAAAAAAAATGGCGTTATATATTGTATAAGCAATGTTTATTATTATTACGAGTGTGAGACGTTGGTATAAATATGAGCACTTCCTGCTGCTATTAGAAAGCTTTATGAAATTACTAGTTAATTGGAGTACACCCAACAATTTAGTTATGATGATGATTAGTAAAAAGTAATAGATTTGGAGCATTGATGGTGGTTTTTGAATGGAAAGAGGATTATTAAGATTTGTTTTGCGTGGTGGGTTTTTCTTCTTCTGCTCCTCTCTTAATTAATTGAAATGTCAGCAATTTAATTAAATGCCTTAATTATTTATTTAATAACTTCATTAATTTTCCCATACACAATTTCCATTTCCAATTGTAGAGGTATATAAGGTAAGCTAGTAACGTTATTAATCACACACACTCACGTGGATTGTATTATACTAGCATAGATGGGAAAAGTATTAAGTATGTTAAAAATTGTCGTGTCAGGAAGTGGACCCAGTCAAAAAAGGTGGGCCGCAAAAAGGACAGGAGGATACCTAATGTAAATAAGTAAAATGTAAATACATAAACTCATATCTGTACATAGCAGTAGTAGAGATGATGATATCATAAACAAATTATATAGAGTATGATATAATCATCATCATCGTGTGCGTGTGTATATATATAGTGGCTACCTACGTATATAATTATAGAATTGAATTACGATGTAAAATCTTCTTCCGTCTCCCACTTCTGACTTCCTTCCGGGCGGCCTAAAAGTTTGATTGATTCTTAATTTTTTTCAGTAGTTTGATTCTTAGTACCAAAAGTAACATCATATAAATTATTAATATATACACAACAATACTACTGTCTACTACTAGTACCACTTGAGGAGTCAGATGGGTCTCTATTCTTTTATCATGCTTAGATTTTTTCAAAAGAACAAAAAAATTGAAAAAGTTTATTTCTTACCCTCAAGATTGCTGTCATCTTAATTTAGGTTTTTTAGGCATACAATACATATACATACATATATCTCCATCTGTTGCATGCTAAGAAAATACTAGTATCACGATGAATGTAATTCCCATCTTATTTCTTTATTATTATGTACATGCAATTGTGCCAGCTACAAGAAGGTCACATATGAGAGAGAGTTGCAAAACTCCGTATAGCTGCTACATTATATCTGCTTACCCGCCCTGTGGCTTCATTGAAAATATAATTTATTTTTCCTTCACTTTCTTAGCTCATCTCTCCAAACAATCTCAAGACATCAAACAATTCATGCTTTCTACAAAACAAAAACATTTGACCAACTTCCTACCATGTTCATGTTTAAATGTTCTACATGTGATCAATTATCATCATCTAATGAAAAATGCATATACCCTGTGCAAATTTATGTTGCCCACTCTGATTATTGATAAGCAAAAAGACACTGTTTTCTGAGAGAATCATCAAACAGGTGGGTGCAAATTAGGGTTCCCTCTACAACAAAACATGATTACAGACTCCTCCATAAGCTCTAACTGCCTCCCAATTTCAGTGAAAAGTCTACACCTCCATCAAAAAACAAGTCGTCTTCATCTGGACACAACTTTCAAAAGCTACCCCTACCAATTTCAGTATGGCCCCCTCTGGTAATATCAGTGGATGAAATCCCCATCGTTAAACACAAAAAGGTTAAGCCACAGTATGCCCGAGACTTGCTCGTGTTCCTCTGTCATCTTAACTTTCAAAATCGAATAAACTGGAAAGGTTATTGAAACCAGGTCTACAAAGCTAGCGATGTCCATTTGCCCTGTGCCTGTTGTGGTTCCCAGGTCTCACATGTGGGTTTTTATGGCCAAGCCCTTGCTTAGGGAGATCATGCAACTCCACAACCTGTATTGTTCGTTGCCTCTTGGCTGTTGACAAGAATTACAATGTACTATCAGATAAAAATCAGAACTAGCTATAACTTGAAGCTCCCAAACTGAAAGGATAAAAAATTCTCAGATTTTTAATGGAATGAGTCCAATGTACTCGTCGGGTTTTAGCATAAGTTGAAAATCTAATTTTGCCTTCAGTTCACCAGGTTCTAAATTGATATAAAATCAATAACTTAAATTCTTAAATAATAAGACATCTAAGTTTATAGGAGAACAAACGAACCGTTTTCAGCTTGTTGGTAACTCTCCTGGAGCTTCCTCTTTGTGGCTTCAAGTTTCACCTGGACAGCAATTTCATTTGAGCACTTCAATTTCCAATTTAAACAAGTAAAAACAATAAGATCAATAGAAGCTCCAAGAGATATACTACACGGCATCAGTAAGTTTGATACTCACATCCTGTTGAGCAGCCAATGATCTCTTTTGGATTGCAGCTTCGTCTAATTTTTTATGCAATTTTGTCTCATTATCGACCTTTTGCTGCACATTTAGTTTTGTTGGTCTCCCCGGCCCCGATTCGGTGTTTGAGGGCTTATGTGGTTTCGCGACAGCCATTTGTTTCCTCACTACAACTTCTTGTTTCTTCATCTGTTCACCCTTTTTGTCCTTGGCAGGAACATTGGACTGACTGGGAAGCTGCTGTTTCTGTTTGGAAACATTTTGCTTCCCCATCGACAGTTTTCTGCCACTTTCTCGATTCTTGTTGAATTCCCCACTGTCTTGAGGATCTGCAACAATATTCCCATCAGGATCATGAATATCTAAAAAGTGGGGAATTCAAATAAAGAACCGAATAGCAATAGCTATATAAGAAAAGCAAAAGGGATCACAAATTCAACTCACTTTCATAATCATCCAACCCGTCAAAGAACTTTGCAATGCAAAATTGAGGAACACAAACACAACGGAAATCCAGTCAGTCTACAACCACAAAAATTAAAGCAAAATTACTTTCCCAACTAAGAAAAAAACTGGTATAAATACCTGAGAGAGCTCCATTGTAGTCGGAGTAGCAAAGAAAGCTCCTTCATCCATTGGAGGCGAAGGGAGCCCATCTTCTTCATCAACAACAGATGGGTTCGCAGATTCTGGGGTACCTTTTGCACCTATAAGTGAAAACATATGCTCATTGAACTCGGTTCGAGTAAAGAATGCAAAATACAAGATATATTATACAAATTTATCAAATACAATTATATATATATATATGTGCTCCTACCAGCAATAGCTGCTGTCGCATTGACCCACTCGTCTACCAAATCCTTCCACACACTGCAATTTGCAACAATTGAATTTAATTTGATGGACATATGTTTTGCTAATTTGAAATGGAGGGTAGAAAAATTGAAGGACACATCCAACTACATCTTGTTGAAAAGGAAATGAACTGAATCATTCTGATTAATAGTAAGAGAACAAAATGAGCAGGATATTGATAACTGGTTCTAAATGAATCAAACAATAATCGAACAAGATTTTAACTTGTACACTCCTGGTGAAGCTGACATTGGTAAACAATCAAGATCTGCTAACATAAGAAAATTGAGGAACACAAAATGCATGGTTCATATTGAGCTAAGAAAAAGCTGACAGATGTGTGAAAATAGCTAGCATCATAATCATAATAATTATTAACCATCACTAAATTTATAAGAAAAAAAAAAAAAAAAAGATGGGAGGGATTCCAGAAGTGTTGAATTCTCCATTAACAAGCATGACAGTATTTTCCAGTTGTTTGTCTGTGTAATTGTGACTTTGTATCCTAAGTCTGGAGGACTTACACTCATTCTTTGTTTCGATGGTTTCTCCTTATGTTTGTTCTGAATTACACCCATGTGACTTGTAAATTTTGGTTTTACAAATAAAGAATATAAGCAGACGTGGAGAAAAAAATAGAAGACAATAAATCAAGCAAAGAAAATTAGAGTGAGTCTATATCATGGTAGCATCCTCCCAATCGTTGGATTCAAAGTGAGCTCTTAATCCAACGATGGATGAGGCGTATTCACGGTAAGAGCGATGCGACAATAGCTTTTCATAGAATTATTAGTACACACCAAATTTAATATCAAAAGTTAACTAAAATGTTGATGTCATAAATAGTTATAAACACGACAAAAATAATGAATGATATTTAGCATGTGGTAATAGCTTCACATTCATTTATGCAATATGACGATAACTATGCCATATAACCGTTAGTTAATTGGAGGCGATAATTCATATGCAGCCAAAAAAACAAGGGTGAGGCGTATTCATGGTAAGAGCGACCCGACAATAGCTTTTCAAGAATTATTACTAAACACCAAATTTAAAATCAAAAGTTAACTAAAATGTCGGTGTCGTAAATGGTTATAAACACGTCAAACATAATGAATGATATTAAGCATGTGGCAATAGCTTCACATTCATTTCTGCCATATGACGACAACTAGACCATATAACTGTTATTTAACTGGAGTTGATATTTTCATACTCATTCAATGAGCGCATACTGCCAAAAAAGAAAAGAAAAAAAGGTGCATTGATTGAGTAGATATAATTAGAGTATGCCTATCATGAACACCCCCTCTTAATCGTTGGATTCAGAAAGAACTCTCAATCTAACGACTGATGAGGCGTATTCACGGTAAGAGCGACCCCGACAATAACTTTTCATGGAATTATTAGTAAACACCAAATTTAAAATCAAAAGTTAACTAAAATGTCGGTGTTGTAAAAGGTTGTAAACACGACAAAGGTAATAATTGATATTTAGGATGTGGCAATAGCTTCATATTCATATTTGCCATATGACGATAACTAGACCATATAACCATTAATTAACTGGAGGTGATAATTTCAAACAGGTATTCATGGTAAGAGCGACTCCGACAAAAGCTTTTCATAGAATTATTAGTAAACACCAAATTAAAAATCAAAAGTTAACCAAAATGTCGGTGTTGTAAAAGGTTATTAACACGACAAACATAATAATTGATATTTAGCATGGGGCAATAGCTTCACATTCACTTCTGCCATATGACGACAACTAGACCATATATAACCACTGCTTAACTGGAGGTGTTAATTTCATACTCGTATTCATGGTAAGAGCAACCCCGCCGACACATTTTCATAGAATTATTAGTAAACACCAAATTTAAAATAAAAACTTAACTAAAATGTCGGTGTTGTACTAAAATGTTATAAACACGACAAACATAATAATTGATATTTTGCATGTGGCAATAGCCTCACTTTCATTTCTACCATACGACGACAACTAGACCATATAACCAATACTTAACTGGAGGTGATAATGTCATATTTGTATTCACGGTAAGAGCAACCCTTATGATAGCTTTTCATAGAATTATTAGTAGACACCAAATTTAAAATCAAAAGTTAAAATGTCAGTGTCGTAATTGGTTATAAACACGACAAACATAATAAATGATATTTAGCATGTGGCAATAGCTTCACATTCATTTCTGCCATACGACGACAACTAGACCATATAACCGTTATTTAACCGGAGGCAATAATTTCATACTCAATGGGCTTATGCCACCAAAACTGTTGGAGGATTCAGTGAGAGCTCTCAACCAACAGCTGATGAGGCGTACTCACGGTGAGGACGGGCCGATGATAACTTTTCTCATCGAATTATTAGTTACATCAACTATAACAAAAATGTCGGTGGTCATAAATGGTTGCAATAAACATGACAAACATAATAAATGGCGTTTAGCAAGTGACGATAATTTCACATTTCTTTCTCTGTCAAATGACGACAAGTAGAACATATAACCGTTATTTAACTGAAGGCAAGAATTTCATACTCAATTAGCGTCTGTGCAAGTTGTTGAATTTGTTTAGATCCATGCTTTCGAAGACCGTTAACAGCCTTTCCTATCTCTGTAGCCTGTGGTATAAAGAAATATAAGTCTCCATGACAGTAGAGAACTTGTAACAAGTTCAAAGAGATTGCAACTGCTCGTAAAACATATGGAAAACAAAAAATACTAACAGAAAGTTTAGTTCAAACCTTCAGGGTATCCAAAGACAAGGCCATTAGTTGAAGCCTCCTCAGTGAATCGAATAATACTGAATCAGACTGTCAAATAAAACACCAATAATCAGAAACCAGATAACTTAAGAAGGATAAATGGATGGGTCTATTATAACCAAACCAATTAATTAAACTAGAATCAACTAATCTCCCAAAAGATAGCAAAATTTTTTAAAATCTTCAAAACGTAAAAAGAAGCCAACATATCAACAAGATACAACAATTGGATCAACAAAAAATGTCAAAAAAATTCCAAACTTTCTTAAAAGAACCCTAAACTTGAAGTAGTAAGAGAAAGGCTACTAAAAAACAATAGGACACTATATTACTTAACAGCAAAAAAAATTCAAAAGCTAAAACCTAAAGCAACAGAATTATGGCAATCTATCAAATTGATGACCATAAAAAAATGTGAAAAACTTTCATTGATGCACACAACCCTAAAATTGGACTAGAAGTTGCAAATTGATAGTAACTTATAAAGCATAATAGAGCACTAGAAGGAGTATATATAAACCTGTTCTTGACTGTCATCAAGAATTTCTTTTATCCTCATGACCTCCCCAAAGATCTGAGCCTCTTGCTCAATTTCATCCGTCAATGCTTCGGCATCTCCAAAGCTATAATTGCTAACCTGCTGGTTCATATTCATATCAACCAGATCATCTCTACTACTACTGACCTTGCTCTCCTTAGAACCACCAGGCTCGAGTTCACAGCCAGCCCCACTCTTACAACCTTCTTCATCCTCTCCATCTCCGTCTCCGTCTCCATCTCCATCTCCGGGCACTGCCAACTCAATTCGATCGCATCCGAAACAGCGAGTGAGTTTGCACGAAAACAATGTCTCGGCAATTCTCTCTCTTCGCAATCTGAACTCCTTGGGGCAATCTGAAGCGGCCACCATAATTGCATGCTCGATTATATCGAATATATCTGAATTTGCTGTCCTGAAATAATCTCTCCATTTATCGAGAGTTGCAGATTTCTTAGCCATAACTGGAAATTGATCAAATTCAGACAAACCCAGATCGGAAAATTGAGATTTAGTGGTTTTCAAGCGATTTTAATCGATATATACCCACAAATGAAAACACGATTTGAATAGAAAAAATGGTGGAGAAACAAGGTTTTGGTTTCTATCAGTTTCGACCAAAAAAAGACTTGTGATAGATTTCTTTTTTTATGAAGAAACCAAACCGTCTACTGGACAGATAAGACTTTGGATACGATCGTAACAGATTATCAGAGAGACACAAACCAATATCAATCAGTATGGAAGGAAGAGGGTTTTTCTGGGATTTGGTAGAACCCAAAATAATAATAATTATTTCGGGAAGTCTACAAATGTAATCTATACGAATCTATATATCTTCTTTACTCTGCCAAAATTTACGATAAGGAAAAATCAATATCAGACAGAATCCAGGGTAAGGTAGAATTATTATTTTTACTATTTTTCAAGTCTACCGAATTTCCCAAAAAACCAATGGACAAATCGAAGGGAAATTATATATATGGGAATTATGGGAAATTCAGGAAGACAATGGAACTGTGGGAGACTTTCTCGCTCCTCTCTCTATGTGTGTGTATATATAGTTATCATAAAACCAGGTGCTGCAAGAAGACGAAAAAGTTTTTTTGGTTAGAAAACATAAAAATAAGGGCAGGTGGTGATCAGAACTAAGAACGGGTTCAAGTTGAAGCGGTTTTATAAAATTGTATAAATATTATAAAAAATAATTTTATTAATTAATATTATTACTATTATTATTTTTAATTTTTGGATTAGGGCTAGACTTGTTGTGTCACAACTTGAGAAGGTTGAGAGAGAGAGAGAGAGCATTATATGTGAAGTTTGAATTAATCATTTAATTGAATGGGAGGGTCGGGTCTGTGCTTGTTTGTTTGTTATTAACCTATCTATAATAATATAATATTATATATTAATAATAATATATAATATATAATATATAATCGGCATTTGTGTGATGTTAATGTTATGTGTCGCGTGTTTCACGTGTGTGTCAAGTCCCGACGACTGTTGGTTTTGAGTTGTGTCCAAAAACTGTTAGACGAGTACTCGGCGACTCGTTTTTCTGAAACGATCAAGGTGTTGCCAAACTCACCCTTCTGTTGTGCTAGGGTGAAACACAGCCAATAATTTCTTGATTCGTAAGGATGAGACCGGACCCACTACCAGTAGATGGACGGCTTGTATACAATTTTGTGTTGTGTTTCACAGTGCAGTCACGTATGCGACTGTATGTTTTGACAGTCGCACATATGTCAGCAGCCTAGATGCATATTGATTAGAGAGGATTGCTAATTACCACAGTGCAGTCGTGGATGCGACTGTGGTTTGACAGTCGCACACATTATTATTTCTCTGAATCAGATCTATTTTTTAACCGGGTCTCCCTCCCCTCTTTTTTCTCTCTAACCGTTGGGAGTGTGAACGATTGTAACAGTAATCAAATGGAAGATAACGGGAGGAGTAGATTTCTCGTCACCCATTTTTACTGATTATGCGTTTCAGGATGCTCAGATCCGGCCGATTTTTCCATTATACGATTGAGAACTCTTCGGAGACGATTCGATGCCTTCGCAACCGCCTCTAGCTTCGCCATGATCGTCGACGCCGAAATTTAAATCCTTTTTCTGAAGCAACCCATCACGTCTGAGCAACCCAAGCGCATGACGGTTTAGAATATATTATAGAATATATTGTTGCCATAGGTTTAATATATAGTGGTTACGATTACTAACTCTCTATACATATCATCTCTTATGAATTCTTATATTATAAATATAAATACAATAGAGTTGTATACTTTCTTTTTTATTTCTAATATGGTATCAACACTCATTTAGATGGGCCCGTTGAGTGTTACATGGCCCGACTTTTAACCAGAGGATTCACATAGGAGTATCGCATTGATTTTGAGGAGATATTTGTTCATGTTACACGTTTTCCCTCTGCTCGCATTCTTATTGTTGTGGTTGTTCCCCTTTCATTGGGGACTTTTTCAAATGGATGTTAAGAATGCATTTCTCAATGGAGATTTACTTGAGTAAGTTTACATGCAACCTCTTCCAAGTTATCATCATCATCCTAATAAGAACTTCCTAGGCTTTGGGGATCATAGTATCTCTTACGTGAAGGGAGAATCAACCATCCTGGCGGACGACTAGATGGCTTCGTTGTTCATCGGAGGTGCTTTCTACTCGGGTCGCTACTTGCCAGTGGCTCTTTGGTCATGAGTGTTCACTTTTGATTGACGCAAATCGCCGAAAACCCTGTTTGTAGTCGATTCCTTCTGCCATAAATGAACAGCCTCAACACATTCTATCATCTCTTCCGGTTCGAGCCTACTGAGCTGTGGGTCCATGTGTACGGATCCTGCCCTCTTTGTTCTCCGGTTGACATTTGTTGGCTCTACTTTCTGATCTGTTGCTGGTGGACGAAGGAGCGGCGGTGCGTCCTTTCATTCAATGACTTGCATCAGCTCATTCTTATTGGCGGGAAGATCCTTCGTTCCTGTTGGCGGGAGGATCCTTCTCTGATCACGGTTCCCAATCGGAGTTGTGTCATTCGTTACTGGAATTGATTGATCTTTCCTTTGTTCCCACAGAGGTCGTCAGATGAAGATGCAAGAAATAGCTCTTTATATTAGGAAAGAATTTTCTTACACCCTAGAACAATCTCCCCTTCCATTATCTCTCTAATATCTATTTATAGAAGTTTATATTTACCCTAAAGTTCATTTCTTGGCTCTTAGGCTTCGGCCTTTTCTGAATTGGGTCTCCTTCTCGGGCCATGATGGGTGTAAGCCCCATATGGAATGTAAGTGGAGTCGGGCCTGGTGTCGGCTTTACTGTGACTAAGGCTGAAGGGGCTGAGCCAGCAGAGGCCTGATTATACTCTCTAATGTCTATTTATAGAAGTTTACATTTACCCTAAAGTTCATCTCTTAGCTCTTAGGCTTCGGCCTTTTCTAAATTGGATCTCCTTCTCAGGCTATGATGGGTGTAAGCCCCATATGGAATATAAGTGAAGTCAGGCCTGGTGTCGGCTTTACTGTGACTAAGGCTGAAGGGGCTAAGCCAGTAGAGGCCTGATTAGCTCCTGGATCTTTGGTCGGGCTGACCCAAAACTGGGAATACTCCGTGGTTTTGCTGGACCCGCCTAGGGACCAATTCGGCCCTTTTAGAGCATTTAACGATGGCGATTAACATTACTTCCCCAACATAGTTTTGTTATCACCAAGTCAGCGCCAAGTCAACAAGTTATGAAAGAAATTTATTTTTGTTTTATCATATATACGAATATCACTCTATACGTTATACTTTATACAATATACTCCCTCCGTCCCTATTTAAGTGTCATGTTTGGGGAGTAGTAATTTTTAAGGGGACATGTGGGATATGCATTGTCTCCCTAGAAAGTTACTAAATTACCCTTTTAAGTTTTGACTATTTAAGTTTAAAATTTAAAACTCAAAGGACATATATGGAAAGATGTGAAATATATTATTTAAAAAAGAAAAGTGGACACTTATTTTGAGATAGCAAAAAAAAAAAAAAAAGGAAAGCATGACACTTATTTTGGGACGGAGGGAGTATTATACAAGAGTATATTATTATATAATTCAACTTTACCTTTTGACTGAAATTAAAATAAAATAAAATAACCTCACTTTAAAACAATTCCACAAGAATTTAAATATGTATACAGATCATGTTACTGAAACAAAATATAATTATGGGTTATTATAGTTAGTATACCCTTACCTCAAAAGTAGATTCAAATCACTCGTTCACGAAACTTTTCCAAATCGAAAATTTCCAACTGTAATTGCGTAATATTGGGTCGAATTTAACAATTTTAATTCTTGCACCACAAACTAAATCTTACCCCCTAACCTTAAATTCTAGGATTAATTACACTCACACCCCTTGAGGTTAGGATAAATATTTTGGTTTTCACTTTCACTCTCATTTTAAAGTGTCAAAGTACTTTTGAATGTAAAATGACTATGTTACCCTTTTGACTTGTTATTTGAGTTACAAAAAGAGTGTTTCACTTATTAAATGACAAAACTACCCTTTACAATCCATTTTAAGTTAAAAAAATTCCCTTTGTGCAACCATCTTTTAATGGTATTATAGTGGTGAAACTATTACTCCATATATGTATTATGTTTGTTTGTTATAAGTGTAGATAATTTGTTCTCTTTATGATTCTCCATAATTCATGGTTGTCGGAACTATGGTCGGCGATGAGGAGTTGTTGAACCGATCTCGACACCTTCGCGGTGTCGAGACCAATGCTTTCGCTGCTGTCAGCATCATATAGAACCGATCTTGCCGCTGCCATTACCATGCCCAAGATCGAGGCTATCTTTGAAAGCAACCCATCTCAAAATTAGATATTTTCTGCAAAATTAAAGGAAACCCATTTGGAAATAAGTAAATTAAGCAACAAATTTTTATTTTATTTTTGGCTAAATCATATTGAAATGTAAGGAAACCATTACAAAATTTCTTATTTTCAGGAAACCTATTTGGAATAAACAAACTAAGCAACAACAAAAAAAAATTCCTGAATAACCCACTGTAAGTATTTTTTTTTTTGGCTAAATCATTTACAATAAGGAAAATTAGAATTGAAATGCAAGGAAATCATTTCAAAATCAGATATTTTCTACAAAATTAAAGGACACAACAATTTGAGCAACAACAATTTTTCTTTTAACCTAAACAGCCCACTTAAAGTTTCTTATTTTTTGTTTGGTTAAATCATCTACAATAAGTAGGGGTGGCAATGGGGCGGGTTTCTCATTCCCCATTCCAGTTTAAATTTGGCACCCCCAAAACCGTTCCATAATCGATTATTTTTTTACCCCTAATTCCCATTACCGCCCTCGCCCATCCCCTTTTGCCCCGCCCCTCCCCCGATTAAATTTGAGAGTTTTTTTGGATTTTATTGCTACAAAATCAACTGTGAAAGAGAATCAAAGTAAAAACTAGATGATCAAATCAAACTGTGAAAACGAAACCCAACTGTGAAAAGGTAGAACTTGTTACTTCAATATATATATATATATATGACTAGGGTCTTAGCATTGATCGGAGATATGTGGCCAGAAAAGAAGAGAAAGAATATGGTGAAGGACTGAAGGAGGTCACATGATGGTGAGGGATTGAGAAGTGTCGATTCGCTTCATCGCTTGGCTAAGGCTGTGGAGATCTATGGTCGGAGAAGAAGAGAGAGAATATATGAAGATGGTGAAGGAATTCATTTCATCGCTCAGCTAAGGCTGTGGAGATCTGTGGCTGGGGAAGAAGAGAGGGAAGATCTGATGATGGTGAAAGTATGAAGGAGGTCGTAGGACATTCGCTTAGTCGCGTTACTCACAACTTCGTTCTCACTTCTCAGGCTCTCATTTTTCAGCTGTCGTTTTAGAAGATAGGAATGAGTTGGGGTTTATTTAGAAGTGGGTAAGTACAATAACATGGTAGGAGCTAATATGAGTAACTTTATATATAATTGGGGCGGTTGTGGGGTGGGGGTACCATTTCCCTGCCCCCACCCCCTCCCCGAATCCGGCCGATTTTTTTTTTTTTCCCAACCTTCATCCCCCATCCCATTTAAATAAACAGTTCTCCAACCCCGCTTTAAAGAGGGCGGGG